CCCAATACACCCCATATACATCCCAATACACTCCTTATATACCCCATATACATCCTAATACACCCCGTATACACAATATACCCCAGTATACCTCTTACATACCCCAGTACAGCCCAATACACCCCATATACATCCCAATACACCCCTTATATACCCCACACGCACCCCAATACACCCCATATACATCCCATATACACCCTAATATACCCCATATACACCAATATACCCCATATACACCCAAATATACCCCAGTATACCCCCCAATATACCCCAGTATATCTCAATACACCACATATATATCCCAATACACCCCATATACACCCCAATACACCCCAGGATGCCCTTGGCCTTGTTGCCCACCAGGCCCCATTGCTGCTCATGTTCATCTGCTGCCCCCAACACCCCCAGCTCCTTTCCAGCCACTCCTCCCCAACCCTAAAGCCCTGCATGGGGTCACTGCAGGACCCAGCACTTGGCCTCGGTGAAGCTCAAAGAAATGGGAATATCGGGAGGAGGCAAATGAGGAAGCAGCCGAAGGAGCCAGGTTGGCGCATGTAAAAAACCATCGAGCACTCGCCTTGTAGGAGACCTTCACCACCGAAGGAGCCCATTTATCAAACTCGTACGCCCAATTCGACAGCGTTCTGGGGGAAAAAAGGGGGAGAAATGGTAAAAAGAGACCCCTTGGAGCATTGGGAATCCCGGGTGTGAGACCCAGAGGTGGCGACGGGCGCTTACGAGAGGGGTACGATGATGAGGAAGGGCCCGTTGATGCGCTTGTGCTCCATGAGGTATGTGATTAAAGCGATGGTCTGGATGGTTTTGCCCAGCCCCATCTCGTCGGCCAGGATGCCGTTCAGGTTGTTGTTGTACAGCGACACCAACCACTCCAGGCCTTTGATCTGTGGGTAAAAACGAGAGGAAAACGGGGAAAATTAGGGATGAAATGAAAGGTGACGCCCCGCACGCTGTACCCCTTATCTGAAAAGAAAGGGGTTGAGGGATCAGAACAGGATCAGGACATTCTGTCCCCGCGCACCCAGCGCTGTTTGCTTCCCTTCACTCACTTGATAAACTGTAAACTTTAATTGGAATCCTGTTTGAGGCTAAATCATTTATCACGTACATCATGCATAACACACTGCTAACGATCTTATTTTAATTATTTACAGGCATTAACGCGTTTCCCTCCTCTGATGATCTTTGTTTCAAAGCCCAGCTCCTCACCTCCTCCTGCTTTCACCTCCTGTTTGTTGCTACCCGGATTCTTTGCCCAAAGCTCACTGTTTTCAGCCAAAATCGCACCAAAAATGGTCTGAAAAGCACCCAAAGTGGCCAAGAAGCACCCAAAGTGGCCAGGAACAGCACCCAAAGTGGGCAGGAAAAGGGATCCAAAGTGGCCAGAAAAAGGGACCCAAAGTGGCCAGAAAAAGGGACCCAAACTGGTCGAGAAAAGGCACCAGAAGTGGCCAGGAAAAGGCACCCAAAGTGGCCAGGAACAGCACCCAAAGTGGCCAAGAAGCATCCAAAGTGGCCAGGAACAGCACCCAAAGAGGCCAGGAAAAAGACACCAAA